CTTAGGACCCTGTAATTAATGAAATTAATATTAAACCCAAGCATACCACTGCAAGACTTCAAGACACAGTAAGTTCATTCTGTAGATCGGACCATAAATAAAAATTTAAAATCTGAAGGTACTCCGGGTTAACACTGACATTGGGACGTCAGTCACCTCAGTCTGCCGTAACCATGGGTGCTGCAAAGCACCCGAAACGTCTGGAATTAAAAATCAAAGAAATAAAACGCGATAAAATCGATAAAAATAGTTGTTAAAAAACTGCATGTTTTTTAAAGCAATTCCTTTACCATTTCATTGTTTTAATTGCATATTATCATATCTATATGCTTTTATATGTGGGCACTCATGGCCGAAGTGTCTATGAAGAGTGGGCATTCCCCTTTTAAGTAATTATTATTATTTATTTAATTTTTTTTAAATCTTAATTTCAAATAAACAGTTAACATGCTAACACACAACTAATACGTAAATTATTATTATTAATTTTATTGAAGTAAAAATGTAGGTACTTACATCATGTGTAGTTGAAGACATACTAATAGCAGGAATTTTAGGTGGTATAACTGTTTTATTAATTTTATATAGGTAACCAGTAACCACATAGGCTGTAAAATAATAAGTTATTAGTCCTACACTGAAGTTATTTATATTCAAATATACATTTTTTTTTCAGAATTATATATTTTCGTTGAGAAAGTGTAAAGTTATCATATTATCATGTTAAAATGAAAGTTTGTCAGTTGATTTCTAATAAAGTTCTATTTATGTTAAAGCACCCTGTTCTCTTAGTATGTGAGAAGTATTTTTAATGCATGTTATGAGCAGCTTTATTCATTTTTGGCCACTTCTTTATTTAATTTACTCCACACTCCTTAAGCAAACCGAATGGCTGTGGAGCAAATTACATAGCTCTTCGTACTTTTGAATACACCACTGTAGTCCGTGCACTAATTCTATTAATCACCGTTCCCTAGAAATAAACAATAATCTTTGTTTAACAGAATGAATCAATATTAATGGACAGTGAATACACAGACTGAAAAATAATCCAAACTCATGTTTAATATAATTATTTACTTTTACATGAAATCTACTATTATTGTAAACTGTGTGGCTAGTTCTTGACGACATCATTATGAAATTCAGCAAAAATTAACTAAAACCAATCTAAAATACAAAACTATTAAAACAACACGAAGCGCGAAGTCAAATGTTTATCTTAAGAAAGTTGCGTTCGGAAATCACAATTCGTATTTCGAAAGAAGTGAGACATGGTTTTATATACATAAAAAATGTTCCTCCGTAAATAATTATACAAGCTGTATTTCGTTAATTAAGTGTTTTAAATTAATTAACACACTATTATTAATAAGTTTCAATACTTTTTCTTATTTTTACACACAGTAAAAACTCTACAACTATAATAATATCAATTTATAAACGTATAATTCCTTTTCATTCGTTCGTTTTAATATTGAGTTACAAGGTTTGTTTACATATAGTTACATACAATATAGTATCGAGTACACGTGAATAAGAGATAAGCGTCCGTGCTGCCGACGACTGTAGTCACAGTTTGGTAAAAGTTTTCGCTTAGTTGACTCGATATGAATTCTTGACGCAATTGTTTATTATTCGTGCTTGGGGTAGTGAATGGGGAATTGTTAATTACTATTTTAAGTGTTGATTTAAGTTCTCGGTGGTAACGGAAAAGATCGACAGGAATATAAAAAACTTTTGGTAAATCCAAATGTGTACGCCTTAAGCGTTCATGTAATATGTCAATTTTTTAAAGTATTTTAAATACACATAAGTTTCCAGAAATAACCTTATACTTCTCATTTTCTGACAATTTTGTGTCAAACTCATAATGCTCATATGATCGTGAATAAATGTAGAAAAATTCTCAATCAACAATAGAATTAATATTTTTAATTTTACTATGTTATTATTATCGAGATATTTTTTTTTTAATTATGTTAAATGAAATACTTTTAACAGAATTATCTTAAAATTATCAGCAATCAACTTTATTATTATTTTAATTTTAGGTATTGTACTTTTTATTTATATATATATCCTACGTACTTTTAGCGAAACAATAAATTGTAATAAAAATCTGTGATTATAAAAAAAATTTCTTACCTTGATCAAGTATGAATCAAATTTGGTTGTATATCCACAGCGATCGATATTTTTCAATCACGACAGCGGCCGAGCCCGGACACGGAGTGGGTCGAAGTGTATCTGTATTTAGTAAAATATATTATTACAAGTTCTAAGTCGAAAAAACACAATTATAATTAAACAAAACAAAATTAAACAGCCATTTACATTCCATTTATTTCCACATGATAGATGAAGAGATTAATTGAACTTTATACTTGATATTTTCAAGTTATCGTGTTTACCCAACCATGCGAACTTGATAATTCTATACCATAAGCCACTAAATCCACTTTTTAATGTAAAAACAGCAATTAATCGATTAAAAAAAGTTCAACCATCATTTATGTTTCTGATAATGTGCTTTTTATGTCATTTATATATATTCAATATGATTGTTAGATACGATTTCACGCGACAAAACATTGGATTCTTGATATTTAGGTGCTACTAGAACATACCTACGCGCAATATTTTATTAACATGTGAAGTATGCAAACACGCATTGCAGCACTCTTTTTGGCCCAAAACCCTCTCTAAAATGAGAGGTAGCCTGTGAGACGGATATAGGCTGTAACTTTCCATATTTTTTACTTTATGTGGCTTTATTCTATTTTGAGTTATATTTTATATTAAAGCGAGATTTAAAAAGATGCCACTACTACTAGCAGATGTAATACCGGCGGTTCTCACGTCGCAGGAATTAACGTGATGTATCGTTGCGGACTCACTTATCATTTACCTTTATATACCTGAGCTGTGTACCCTGATTCCATAAAAAAATCACCTCTTGCTTATTACGAATAAGTTATTTGATAGAGAACGCTACATTTTTAAGGGACTAATATTTATTAATTTGCTGTTCTTATAAGATTTCTTAAGGGGATATAGTAAGTCAGCTCAAATTCTAATTTCGTCCCCACTTGCTCGCGCGTCGTATGCTATGTACCGACATGTTTGTAATCACTAATACTGTAATTAAAAAGGTCGTTAGACACTTATTTCATTAGGTTTATCATATTTATGCCTGTTTCTTAACGCCAAGCCAGTCGCTTCTTACTTTTATTACGGTTATTTCCCATTTTAATTTTACGTCGACCTGTTGCGTAATGTATATTCTGATCGTAAGTGACACAACCTCCCCATTCAAAGGCCGAAGCGAAGTGACCGGGCGGCAGGAATCACGCTTCAAGAGGCCGATAGTTTAGGTAATTTCTTTTTACAGTGAAAATAATGGTATTTTAAAAAAAGTAAATAACATAAGCACTGCTTTATAGTTAGTTCAGTTAGTACGCAAAGTTTCATTATCTTATTTAAAGTATTTTATGAATAACAGCGGTTTATTGTTTATTTTGGAGGTAACTTTGGATTTTTTTTTTTCTATCAAGAAAATTTTACGAAATCGTGTTTTCGTCTAACATAATCCTTAACATTAATCCTCAACTTTACATATATTTATTTCAAAATTAATGCTGCAATATTTTCGGCATAACGAAGGATCTTGCTAAGCCATTTGAGATTATATTTCCCCTTAATAGCATAACTTACTCGTACTAAAATCTACATTAACACTGATAAAAACAGTACCTGTAACAAGATCGGTAATTCAATTGTGTGCAAGTTCGTAAAAATTTCGTAACCACATGTTTTTTTATATATTATCAAATAATAAATTATAATACAAAACATTTTTTACTATATTTTTTGTGTAAGATTCATATTTCACAATCTGATTTAAATATATACATTACTAACATATTTATTAGGTACTATATAATAAACTATGATATATGTATTATAATAGAAGATATCATATTTTATTATATAGTATAGAGATATATTAATTTAAAATGAAAATAAATAATTGTAAGTGTTTTTGATTGCTTGTTTCATTCGCCACGGATATGAATGATGAATTTAATTTGTTAAACGATTTATCCAGTTATATCGACGCTTGCGATCGACCGTTCTAAGTGAAAAACTGAGGCTCCGATGAGAACTCATTTTACGGCTCAAGTCTTCAAGTCGATTGAGCCTAGTGCTCCAAGTCAATCGGATTGAAACATAATCCGATGAGTTTCCTAACGTTTCCATATCCAGAGTTGTAGAATTGACCGACTATTGGACTCGGAGTGACGCTTATTGAAAATGATTATGGAGATTTCTTAATCTTTTATATCTGTTGAATTGTAATAATAATAGTAATGAATAACGATAATCGTGATGAATAATGTATTATAATATTTGTAGGGGATATATCATAGTGTTAGAACGCAGGCACTTACTCACAGAACATAACTCTCAAAAAGAGCATTAACTCGCCCTAAACAAACCAATCAGCGCCCTATATTGCTTTGCTTTTCCAACAGGATTGGGTGTAAGCTTGGACGCAATGCCAGAGACAAAGAGATAGTTACAACACCAGGATCCAACAAATTGCGTATTTGCACAAATACTGGCCTCAGCTGGGATTCCAACCATATCCAGGCAACGACAGTGACGTTAGCTATGTACTCTGACCATTAGCAATTAGGGCATGTACCGCAGTCATAAGTATTAGGTATATTGCTGATTGGATAATTATAGCCTTGTTGTCTCTCCTCGACGATGGAAATAATACTATATGTTAGTATCGCTTCTTATCTCGGTGGCGTTACATAAGTTAAAAGTAACTTTAAAATTTCTGAACGCATCCTCTAGTTGCACCTCATTCGCGCCTCAATCTGTCAACTCATTCGGTTTTTATGTCGGACGGCGTTACTACGTATTAAAACATTCAGCAGCGAATTAAGTTTTTTAGTTCGGGTATTTTCCTTTAATTACTTTTTAAAATGAAAAGAAAACGTGACAAAGATAGAAGTGACGACAAGATAAAAAAGAAAATAAGAAAACTTATGAAAAAAGTTAAAAAACTTTCAAAACAGCAGGGCCGTAAGTAGCTTATTATTGCATAATTTAAAACTGTGTTAACCCGTAGCATTATCAAATAATACCTAGACATACAATCATTATTATTAACGTGGTTTCCTACTAAAATCAGCCGAGACGAAATACTAACTTGTCACTACCTGTTCTCCATTAAGACGCATAACGCATTACAACGCCATTTTGTTTTGTTTTATTGTTTATTGTGTTTTCACCTCTCCGAGCAGGAAGTCCGTTTAATACATTGAACAATATTATACCTCATCTCATTTAAAATAGAATTGTTGGAAGTAATATAATAATAAATATGAACCTATCTATAGAATATATATTTGAGTTGGTCTATTAAACAGGTTGTATTATAAGAAGTAACCAAATTAATTTTTTTTTAAGTGTGTAATTCATTGGTAGCTATTGCTGTAGAGCATAGGACCATATATAATCTTATGGGACCAAGCTATTGTAGTTGCTACGGCTGTAGAGCCTAGATCTACAAAAACAAAAAGATTTTACATTATGCCATTGGTTGCTACGGTTGCAGAGCCTAGAACCCATGGTCACCTAAAGTCAATCAGGTTGGGCTGCAGAGCCTAGAACCATAAAACATACATAAAGCCTAATATTAGACATGGCCCCTAAATTTTCATAAAGAATGTATATACATTAAGGTAATTTATGTTCTGTTTCTTAACAGTGACATCTGAATCCGATTCAGAGGTATCTTGGCCAGAAGAAATGGAAAATGATAGCTTAATAGAAAGAGAAAAACCTGAGGAATCTGAATCACCTCAATCGGAATTGCAGATTCTGGGAAACCTAAATAGCCAGGCCTCTACTAGCGAATCAGGAAATCAGCCTGATAAAGTTCCAGAGGTACAGGATTTGGATGCTGAGGCATTAGCAGTTCTGGGTGAAATAAACATAGAGCAAGAAAAAGGTCCACCTCTTCACCCTGAAATTGCAAACAGATGGACACCCATTCTGAGCAAAGGCCTAAAAAAGGAAGACAAGAGAGAGCTTATGCAAAAATATATGCCATTCGAAAATGTGCCACGTTTAATAGCACCAACTTTGAACCCTGAATGTATCTCAGCAATTTCAGCATCTATGCTGAAAAGGGATACAATTATTAAAGAAAAACAAAAACAAATAGCTGCAGTATTGACTGCTATTGGCTCTGGTTTAGAGTCCATATTAAAGAACGGAGACAAAATAGAAATAATCCGTAACATAAATGATGCATCCAAACTATTATGTGATTATTTTCAATCTGAGACCAATAATAGAAAAATTTTAATTACTAATGCAGTTAATCACAACCTTAAGGAGACTCTAAAGGGTGACTCAGATATGTTCTTATTCGGAACAAATTTAGCAGAAAGAATAAAGAATGCAAAAATTATACAGAGATCTGGAAAAGATCTGAAAGAAAAACAGGAGCGACTTAAGGGGCCAACAAAGACTTTAAACTGGCGGGGCCCTCCTCAGTTGAGCACCAGGCTGGGGGGGAAGAGAGTAACCAAGCCCAAAAACAAGCAGCAGCAACAACAACGAAACCACTGCCTCCTCGACGATATTAGAGGTTCCTACACCACAGGTAGGAAGACTGCAATATTATATAAATAATTGGCAAAGATTGACTAATGAACCTGTCATACTCAATTGGGTTAAGGGATATTCAATTCCATTTGAACACATACCTATACAAAATAATTTTCCCTTAAATAATAATTTTTCATTAACTGAGTTAAGTCAATTAAAAATAGAAATTAATAAGTTGTTGTCTATACAGGCTATAGAGACTTGTGAACCAGTGCATGACCAATTCTGTTCACCAATATTTTTAGTTAGAAAACCAAACGGGGACTTTAGATTTATTTTAAATCTAAAGGAACTCAATAAATTTGTTAGAATGGATCATTTCAAATTAGAGGACTATCGTACAGTGTTAAAATTAATTAACAAAGATGATTATTTGGCAACAATTGATATTAAGGATGCATATTATATGATAAGTATTAAGTTAGATCATAGGAAATACCTACGTTTTTATTTTAACAACAAACTCTATCAGTTTAATGTACTCCCCTTCGGCCTTTGTACAGCACCTTATGTTTTTACAAAGATTTTAAAACCAATCAATGCCAGGTTAAGAGAAGATGGGTTACGCCTGGTTCAATATTTAGATGACTATATACTTATTTGTAGTAATTACAATGAATGTGTTGAAAAGATACAGTTAACTCTAAAATTATTTACTAATTTAGGATTTATAGTCAATATTAATAAGTGTAGTCTCACCCCCTCACACCAGTGCAAATTCTTAGGACTAGTTTTCAATACAGAAAACATGTCTATTTCTATTACAAGAGAAAAAAAGAGAAAATTGCCTTCGCTTGATCAAAAAATTAAGTAAGAAACCATTATTTTCTATAAGATTTTTAGCTCAGGTGTTAGGAACACTAGTATCTGTTTGTCCAGCAATTAAATATGGTATGTTATATACAAAATTGCTTGAGCGACATAAATACTTATCACTTTTAAAATATAATAGTAATTATGAGGCACAAATTTCACTACCTAACCATTGCAAACAGGATTTGAAATGGTGGGCTGAAAAAAGTTAAATATTCTACAAGCCCAATAAGAAAGAGTGATTTTGTTTTAGAAATACACACTGATGCTTCCAACACGGGTTGGGGTGCCTCATGTGCTGGACAGACAGCTAGTGGGCCCTGGACAGAACAAGAATCAAAATTACATATCAATACTTTAGAATTAAAAGCTGCTTTCTTCGGGCTAAAGAGTTTCACAAAGAATCTAAAAAATATTGAAATATTGTTACGAATAGATAATACTACTGCAATAGCTTATATAAACAGGCTAGGTGGTATACAATACCCCCACTTGTATGATATTGCTAGGCAAATTTGGCAATGGTGTGAAGATAGTAACCTCTGGATTTTTGCATCATATATTAACACTAAAGATAATGTCACTGCTGATTTTCAATCAAGGAAGAATATTGGCCACACTGAGTGGGAGCTAGGGCAGATGTATTATAGGAAAATAGTGCAAACCTTCGGTACACCTGAAATAGATTTGTTTGCATCTCGAACAAATGCTAAGTGCAAAAAATATGTGTCGTGGCACCCAGACCCTAATGCAATCAATGTAGATGCTTTTACATTATGTTGGTCCCAGCTTTTCTTCTACGCTTTTCCACCATTTTCACTAGTATTAAAAACTTTAGAAAAAATAATTTTAGACAAGGCGGAAGGCATAGTTGTTGTACCTTACTGGTCAACGCAGCCCTGGTTCCCACTGTTTAAAAAATTGTTGGTAAATGATTTTATTGTTTTCCAACCCAATAAAAAATTACTTACCCTGTGTAATTACAGATCACCGCACCCTCTTCACAAGAACCTATCTTTGATGGCAGGTCTGCTCTCCGCCAGAAATTTTTAAGCACAGGCATTGGTGAGGAAGCCACCAACATTATGTTGAATTCAGTATCAGAAAATACACTTAGGCAGTACTTACCTTACCTCAGGGACTGGCTTATATACTGTTCATCTAACAATATTAGTACAAATACTGCCAATATTTCACAAATTATAACTTATCTCACAGTAAAGTTTGATGAAGGTATGTCTTATGGAAGCCTTAACTCCATAAGATCAGCCTTGTCGTTATTGATAGGTTCTCATATTGGAATAAATGATCAAATAAAAAGATTATTTAAAGGGTTCTATAGGTTGAGACCAAATAATCCCAAATATCAATTCACTTGGAATGTATCAGAAGTGTTCAATTACCTTGAGCTTCATCAGATGGATACAAAGGATGTAAAATTCCAAACAAAGAAAACAGCAATGCTGTTTGCTCTAGCAACAGGACAAAGAGCACAAACCTTAGCATCAGTGGAAATTGACAAAATAAAAATAGAGAATGACAAAATTTGTATTACAATCTCCAAATTGTTAAAGACATCAGGCCCCTACAGACAGCAGCCATTGCTTGTATTACCTTTTTTTTGATTTAAAACCTAATGTTTGTCCTGCTAGAGCAGTGATTAATTATTTGAAGTTAACTGAACAAATAAGAGGCAACATAAAAAATTTATTTATTTCATTTAAGAAACCCTATAGAGGGGTATCAGTAAGTACAATCAGCAGATGGATAAAAGACATTTTAAAAGAAAGTGGTATAGATGTGAACATTTTTTCTGCTCATAGCACAAGGCATGCTTCTACTTCAGCAGCATTCCATACGGGTGTATCAATAGATATTATAAGAAAATCAGCTGGTTGGACTGAAAATTCAATTTGTTTTGCTAGATTCTATAATCGTCCTATTTTGAACAATAAGGACACAATTTATGCTAATGCTGTTTTTAAAAATATTAATATTGATGACTAATTGTAATTATAATAATTATTAATAAGAAAACTTCTTAACCTTTATTGTTACAATTTAATTATAATTAAAGTCTGATTCTGTTCTGAGACTTTGAACATCTAACATATAGTATTATTTCCATCGTCGAGGAGAGACAACAAGGCTATAATTGAACAATCAAACGAGCTTACCTGTAAGCGAAGTTCGATTGAGATTATACCTTGTTGTCTCTCCGAAGACGATGGAACCCACCCATCCCCTATGAGACCAGGCTCAGTCCCAAATAGAATCAGACTTATGCTTTAAACTAAAATGAGTTGACAGATTGAGGCGCGAATGAGGTGCAACTAGAGGATGCGTTCAGAAATTTTAAAGTTACTTTTAACTTATGTAACGCCACCGAGATAAGAAGCGATACTAACATATAGTATTATTTCCATCGTCTTCGGAGAGACAACAAGGTATAATCTCAATCGAACTTCGCTTACAGGTAAGCTCGTTTGATTGTTCAATTAATTAATATTGAATAAAATTTGAGTTTACGGGTTCAATCGAATTTTCATTTTTAAATATTTAAACATATTTTCAAAGGAACGCGATAAAATCTTGGCACATTGTGCACAGTAATATCTGATATTTCACGCCGATATTATTTGGGAGTGTGGTCCCTGTGCGGTCAAGCCGGCCTATTCGTACGGCACACATAATATTTTTCAGGGTTGAGTCTCGTCCGGACCGCGCCAACGAGCGGTCACGTCCGCCGGTCGTCGACTCCCGCCCGGGTGGGGGAAGTACAGCGCGCCGCTTCGCAGTGGGTGCGCGCGCTGTGGGGCCAACTCGGCTTGCGTCGAGCCTTGAGGACGCCCCTACCCCGCCCAGGATGAAGATTACCTAACGCTGCGCATCACCTACATGCTGGGAAGCGAACTCCGAAGGCCCGGCGCGCCCAAGTGCGCGCGCCTGTTGGTGACTTCGGCTCCGCGTCGAGGTACTCTCCGCGGGACTTTGAGGTTGCTGACCCTTCGGCAGATTCCCTTCCCAGAGGCGCGAGATACGCCAGCTTTTTTTGCCTAGGAGTGCCAGGCCTTCATCTAGAGCCAGGAAGGAGCACTGGAGGTCCGGAGCAGCTGAAACGCCCTCCTGTCGGCAAGATTGGCCCTGCGTCGACTCCCATCCTCAGGACTCCGCGGGGCTTCGAGACGGCCGACCCTCCGGTAGCACCGACCTGGTGGCGCGCAATACGCCAACCAAGAAAGCCAACGATGCCGTACGGCTCCCAAGACCGGCTCATTGTCATGAGCCGTGAGGATAACCCGGGTAATGGGGGGTTCCCCGAGGCCCGAAACCTGCATGGGATGAACAATAGTAGTCCCATAGCAGACGACAATCAACGGTTTCAGGGTAACTCCGCCACGTAAATAACTTACAATAAATAGTGTTATCTCTAGTTTCTGGATGTTATCGCTGTTAGCCTATGCGACTCTTACAGCTTCATCTGACTCAGGGCTCGCCGCCTGCAAGCTAATTAAAAAAGGGAAAGGCAATGACGTGAGGATGATGATGAAATGGTTTATGATTTGGTATTGTTACCAATCATCATGTCGCCTTTTTAGGAGCTATTGAGCTATCTAATCGCTGTCGGAGGGGAGGAGTGCGGACCCCCGTCTCTGACTACTCAGCTCGTGTCGGTCGATGGTCTGGTCGGTGAGAACCGCCCAGGAACGCGGATGTACGGTGTGTACGCGGTGTGTGCTGGAATGCGTCGCGCCCGTTCGTAGTGCTAACAGTGTTTGTTCCATTTAGTGTTGGTGTACTGACATTGTGTGATGTGTCTGCGACGTTTGGGTCGACTGGATCGAGCGGTTGTGGAAATAGTGTTATATCAATTATTCATCATATTATTTGTTAAAGCAAGTACTTCCTATATTTTAAAACGACAGTAGCCTAATGGCAGGGCGCGTACCGCGAACTGAAAAAGGTCGTGGGTTCGAATCCACCATTCGACTACTGGCGTGAACCACTCGTAACACAAGCAATTTAAGCTTACCACGAGTGGTTAAGGGGAATATTAGTAATGTTTGTAGCATTATTAATATTCTTTTATTTTAGAAAAAAAAAGTACATCAAAAGGTCAAGAAGTGATAGTAGCTCAAGAAATAAGATATGGCATGGCAGAGTATTGCTTTGTGGCATTACTTGAATGATGATGATGATGATGCCAGAGCGTTCACCTTAAAATTTTGTCGATACCAACCCAGTCCCCGAAAATTGAACCGTTGAAATTATCGAGTGCAATTTTATGTGTTGCTATTTACTACATGTTTGGCGATGAGGAAAATCTTACGTAAATGCAGGTGTCTTTTAGTGCGGAAAATTTGAAAAATTATTTTTTCGAGGACGTAATGATGCCGAAAGCAAAGTGACAGACGTTTACTTGCTAGCAAAACCATGGTCAGTATTAAAAGGATATACTTTTTATTTACACACAAAAACACACGGATACGTTCATAATATCAGTTCGTAGAAAGGTACTTACTGCCTATCTTTTCATTTACTAGTACAGGTAAGGAAAATAAAAATATTAAAAAACTACTTTTTCATTTAAGAGCATAAGGCGACGGCAGATACGTTACTGCGCCATAATTGCAGTACCAAAAGGCAGTACATTTTTAAAATTAGGGCTACATTATAAAGTAAAAAGAACGGAATACAGCCAATCCATTTATAAATATAACAAAAGTAAAATCTTAACTCTTTATTTTTCTTATTCCGGCTCTTTATTCTCTTTTTTTGTGTTCCCCAACTGAATAGGCCAGATAATTAGTAACAACACGCAGACTTTACCGGTCTTCATTCAACTTCATTGTGTGCATTGTACCTACGGATCCCGTTGAGAGCCGCATGCCTTATTGTTACGGCGTCGCAGCGCTCAGGCCGGGCTTGTGACGCCGGTTGAATCAGCTTGAGTAGTTTAAATATTCTCGGCGATTCCACTTTCGTCGTGAACAGCATTCGCTGCAAGCAACAAGGATACTATTTTCGATATGTTTTGTAGGTAAAGAATTAAAGTAGTTTTTTTTTATAACAGAGTTCTAAAACTGGAAATGTTCTATATTATACTCGTATGTTTTTTTAATGTACATTCACCGATGTCACGAACGCGACTGAACCGATTTTAATTATTCTTTTTTATGAAATCGGTTATAAAATGATTCCTTGCATTTACTCAAACTCTACATATTTAATGAAACTAGTTTTTAATATGAATTTTATCGTTATCATTAATAACGCATTTTATATTTTTGGTGTTTCGAATATCAGCACCAATGGTAAGGAGGTGAATCTAGTTTCTTCATCTAGGTCTTCATTAAAAAGTTAAAACAAAACGCGGTAATATTCGTAAAATTAGTTTCATTTAATAACGTAATTTTTTTTTCAATTACTCGTGAATAAATCGCGGTACTCCAACTCAGGTATGATAAACTAGACTGGATAAGCCTTCGATCGATCCTAGATCTTTATTTATTAAGATCTAGGATCGATCGAAGGCTTATCCAGTCTAGTATAGTCTCTCCTAAAACCTTACTGACAATCGTGGTGACGAGTGCTTAAAGTAATAAATACTATTTAACGTTTTCTAATAAGGGTTCTTGTACATATTTCTACTTTTTTGTACAATCTTTCGAAGTGAGTTGACTATGTTCACACTTATTTGTAATTATCAATTCCGTTGCGAATTTTACGATTAATTAACAAGCTACTATTAGTTAACACTTAGTTCGTCCTTTCGTTGCTTTGAAGCTGTACTTGCAAAACAAGTTTGCGGTGCTAATTATTTCAGTAAACTCCAAGGATTACTATTAAAGCATTTATCAAAATTTAAGATTTGTTCATGTTAATTTAGAATAAAATGGAATAGTCATTCTTCATCGATATGACAACGACTAACGAACAAAGAAGAAATAAGTCAAAGAAAGAAAAAAGAAGAAAACAATTGAAAAAGAAAGAAAGTAGACAGTCAAAATTAATAAAAAATTTAGGCTACAAAAAATCCAAACTAAAAATGTTAAAATACGTAAAAGTAGTTTTATTCAATGTATAATTTTTGCTGGACTTTTGAAGGGCTGTAATGATGATACTTTTTGCGTATATATAAGAAATCATTTAAAAATCTCTAGTCGTTTAAATCATTGGTTCATCATACGTTCAACCTTGTTTGTGATCATTAAAATAACAATTAGGTCATAACCTGCAATTATTCACACTTATGGCTTTTCGATCGTACAAATCAGAATGCAGTTTTATTTAGCGCTACAGTGCTTGTTGGTGAATTTCACGTCTTCAAATATATTCATTTCTCAAACATGCGGGCTACCGCAACTATGTTTTTCATCACCGCCGAGTACGTGGTTAATCAGTACTTTATATTGCAATTAACAATTAAATCAACCCGGGTGGTTGGTATTGTCTACAACAAATCTGTATTGTATTTAGCTAGTTCTTCAGCGGCGCTGTTAATGTGAAATCATTGTATGTTATATAATATAATGTTTTTTCTTTTTTTTACGAGGTGGTAGGAGGACTCCTTTCTGCCAACAGTTCGTCTGAGTAGGTACGCCCCCCCCCCCACCTCTTACCT